CTAAACAGAAATAGGGCCAGTAATGGCCCTTCAAGCCCCCTCCCCCATTTTTGTTTTTCCTCTTAATAACCAAATCTAAGCAAGGCACATGTAGACAATCGATTGTAAGATCCCCCACAGCCAAAGGTAGAAAATATATCAAGGATATATATTATCGTCTCTTCGGTCATTTGTAGCAAATAGAAAATGGGGTATTTATTAAAGAGCTTCCTTATGACTGAGAAATGTCACATGACTTCATCTCGTATAGTATTGCATGATATCTCTATTGTTCAATATTCCGCATGAAAGTATAAGGAAGAATGATTTGTCTTTCGATATAGAAATGAAAGCATATTCATATTTATCTCTCTCATGCAAATATACACTCACACATATACCTGCGAACATATTCTCACCCATACATCCGAAAGGTTAGTTGCATTCTGCTGCGCCCCCTGGATTCACTGTCCATGTGCACAATGTTATATCAAGAGAAACTATATGTGATATTTACAGGCCTGACCTCGAAGAGCTTCACAGACATAAAGGGATACATTTTACATAATTCATTTACTAGTTATCAAAATAATATGACCATCTGGTTTTATATTGATAATATGAATAAACATTGCATACATACATTGTTATGAGGTTCTACCTGCTCTTATGTAAACAAAAAAGGAAATGAGCGGTTTCTGAAAAGAAGTATATAGATCTAAATAGACAAGATTTATTATGTATTGCCCAGTCAAAATGAAGGCTAAGGGCATCAATTTGATGATTTATATGAATGCATTCAAATTAATATTTGAGGTCTTTGTAGATTTAAACAGGCTGTGATATGGAAGGAAAATTGTACACTGTAATTATGAAATCAGAAGGGTTGTCTGACACTTGCATATTAAAAAAACGATTTCCTTCAGATTCACTGGTCGTTAAAGATACTATGTTCCTTTTGCAGACAACCTCAAATTCTGTAAAACTTTGCAGGAATTATGAATATGTCATGTATGTCTTATCTGTGAAATTTAAACGTCAGCAGTGTCCTAATATTCAAATTATGCAAGGAAACCCGTTTACTTGCTAGACTTCACTGTCAGACACTATTGAGTGACTGACAGGCTTTTTTCTTCTTTGGGAATAACATACATAATATGAGCTGTAAAGGATTTGTCTACATCCATAACCCACTTCTTGTAATGGCCAAAATTAAACAGATTAAATCCTTGCGCAGCATAAAACGTACGACCATGCGGTACAATGGTCTGAAAATCAAGACTATTACCTATTGGCTCTATACACTATGAACATGACGGACAAAGAAAGCGGACAAAATATACAGTTCCTCAGGTAGACAAAGGAACATCCCTTCACTGCTATTATGTAAAAAGGTGAATATGCATGTGACACCTGTTCTACACAATTTTACATAATAGCAGTGAAGGGATGTTCCTTTGTCTAGGCTGAGGAGCTGTATATTTTGTCCGCTTTCTTTGTCAGTCATGTTCATAGTGATAGCCCCTAAGTCGATTTGACGACTAATAGTCGTCATTTTCCCACTTATTATCTTTCAAATACCATTGGAATTTAACCTTTTCATTTTGTTGGCCTGCAAAAGGGAGTACCTTTAAAGCACGTTAGACACAATAAATGGCTTACTGCAAAAGGTACGAAGTTCGAGTATAGCCTGATCAGTACTACCAATGTCAATAGATTATTTCATATTACATTTATACTTTTTTGTAGTTGATACCTTTACAGTGGAATTCATCAGTTCTATTAATAATTGAAATGAAAGAATATTTTACGAGTGGAGGCTCTGTGATAAGGCAAAATGATAAAAACCTAACCAATGCAAACTTGACACAATTCAAATAAATGACCTTTGATTTTTGTTTCTATTGACAAAGGATATATTTTTGATATAGAGATTTTCAAGCAATGTAGACTTGCATTCTAAATTCTACACAAGTGATATAACTTGATTGAATCTGAAAATAATGCAAGCAGTAGAGGCCCCTAAATCACACCCCTCCACATTTTATTTCTTGATCATAAATGATGTTAAGCAAAACACATGTAGAAAATAAATTCAAGAACCATAAAGCATCCCCCTCCCACAAAAATATCCATTCTTTACATTTAATATTTTTATTACAACACAGGAAAATCTAGCTCCCGATCTCCGTTTTCTAAATGGTGTTAGGTTTAATAATTTAGGTGCCTTATGGCGATTTCTTAATTCAAGAGGGGGTCAGGCCATTGTGATGTGTGCTTAAGGGGGGGGGGGGAGGTAATGACATTGTGTTTGTGGAGGGGATGCATGAGTATAGCCTACACTTTCTGTTTGGGGTTAGTTAAGGACATTGAGTGTGTGTGGGGGGGGGGGGGGTGAGAACATTGTGAGTTGGGGGCGGGGTTGGACATTTTCTTTTTTTTAAAGAGGGGCCGGGGGGTTTAGGGCATTGTATGTGTGTATGCGTGTTTGTGTGTGTGTGTGGTGGGGGGGGGGGGTAGTGTGTGTATAGAAATGTTACTATAGATTGAATGATCGACTCGATGAAACACTCGATATTCTCTTCAAATCCTCACATTTTCAAATGCACATCCAGGTTTAATGAAATTGTAGTTCAGAGGCATCAGAGCGAATGGTTTCTGACAGTGTCCCGAGATCATGGATGATGTATAAATAATTCGATTTTTTTTTTCATGGTTGGAAGTTGGCAAGCATAATGGGTGGCATTGAAGTTAGTCCGCTTTCGAGAATACCACCCTATATATGAATTAGCTGTAATTCGCAAAAGTTTCTGGTTGTACAGCGTACGAAAGAGAAGAAAAAAATTCACTTGTTGATTCTGAATAAACAAAACAGACCCAAAACTAAAAAAACTAAACAAAGACAGTTTTGTAACTAGATCTCTTAGTCTTTGTTTACATTGTGCAACTGATGAGGTAAATAAGCGCGCGCCTGCACGTTACAGGGCGCAGCATTACGGGGTGTAAACAATCCCAGGACCAATGTCGCAGTCATTGCGTTGTATTTTCAGCTCATTTCTCACTATTAACGATGCCTAGGAATCTTGATTCTCATCAACCAAGCTGCCCAAGCTGCACAGAAATGACAATTTCGTGAAACAGGAAACCACTGTATTCGCTACGATCCGCGATCCGCACAGTACCGCTCCATTGCGCCACACGCATATACATTTGTTCCTTCCGTCCGCCGCCCCATAGAGGCTACACACAAGCTTATGCGTGCGGTCGATTGAGTAGTTTCCAAAACGAATTACTATACCTGGTAAGTATGGGGATATCTTTCTTAAAACTAACATTTGTCAACCTTCTATAAGGCTATCTGTTCGGCTTAACTTTAGAATACCCCACCAATAGGGTTAATGTACATAAACATAAAAAACCTAGGGTTAGGGTTTAGGGTTAGGCTTAGGATTATGCTTATTGTTACTTATAAAGCTTAATTAAGTCTCGAGATTTAGATTCATTGGTGAAATTTTTGGTACCCTACAAACATTTTATCAATTGTAGTGGTGGGGTAGGCCTATTCTCTTTATTTCTGACCCATCATTCTCGTAAATCATACTTTTGGGGTATTTTATTTTACCTTTACCCGATCAAGAATCTGCATGGACCTTGGAGTTGGAAGAATGATGTTGAGTGTATAGACTATATTATAGAGCAGGCTTCCAAGATTCCAAAAAGAATCCAACTCCAGAAGTCCAGCATCTTGAATCTTTTAAAAGTTTGGTGTTTGCTTGCTTTGTTTTGTTTTCTACTGATGACGCTCTGTTGCTTATATGTATGTTAGCTTATATTATTTTAATTAGGAATGAAAACAAATATACTGAACTGAGTGCATAGTCTATATATATAGAGTAGTATAGAGTCAATCAGTGGATCCAGACGTAACAACTGTCGATATAAGAGACTGATATTTTCGGTCTACCCTAGCTACCCTAGGCCTAGCTGTAGACCAACAACTTTAAACTTGATGATTAAATGTATCACCAAAGGAAGACAATCTGATTAGATTTTGCAGTAACTAGGACAAAGGTCACAGAGGTCAAATTATGAAACTCCAGGTATTCATCTCGTTAACGCGATATCTCAAGAACCAGTATAGGTCGACATATATAAGGCTCAAACCTGGTGATAATATATAACCATAGGAGAAATGCTGATTAGTTTTCGGGTTCAAAGGTCAAAGGTCACAAAGGTAAATTTCTGAAATTACAGGTTTAGTCTTGCTGCTGCGATATCTAAAGAACTACATGAGATAGGCGTTTTTGTTTTCATTATGATATGTCACGAATAATTCCACTCACTTTGTATGCTGAATTTAGGGCGGAGGCATGATTAAGGAGACGCAGTCAAATTTGTCTTCTGTTCAATATAAGAGGAGTAGCTATTAGGGTTGGGTTTTACTTTTAATTGCTAGGGGTCAGTTAAAGACAATGGCCCACAATCTGTTTTTGCCCTATAAAGACAAAACAAACAAAAAACGAATTTCTGGAGGAGCACCCCCCCCCACCCCGCCCCACCGTGAGGTGGTGCAATGTGTTATGTTGAAGTTGAAATCTATAAATTTGTACCATTTACAGCAACTGATATCACCATGCTCTCTATGTTAAATCTCATGACAGTTTATTTCTTTGTATGTACACCTTTACACAATTAGAATATTCCCAATAATATGACATTCAACTAGCTTTAATTCATAAACCCTTAACAAATATATTTTGTCTCTCTGCGGCAGAGATGCATGCATGGGTACATCCTCCCTTCCTGTATGAAGCTAGATCTTCAAAATGAATTTCAGCCCCTTTTATCTTTGAATAAAGGTCAGTATTAAATCACGCGAGCAAGTCAAGAGGCAAATATTTTGAAAAGGAAAATATATTGAAAAATCAAACTAGTTCATGTACACTGTACATGTATGTCACTGATATAAGTAATCCGCGTATAGTAAACAGAATTCCACTGTTTTTTTTATTCAATTACAGGATGTCTTGCTGGGGTCATCATTCATGTACTTTTCCAGCGGACTGAGTTTCTGTCGAATGAGAAGTATATCTTGCACCATGGATGGATTCTGCCTTCTCTATCTGCTCATGATTCTCCTGATGAGATCTGGTGATGTTGAAACCAACCCTGGACCAGACAGGTCAGTTTATATGTATTTAAGGTTTTTTTCTTTTCTTTATTGCAACAACAATTGATAAGATGTAGAGATAATAAAAGTACCTTTCTTATTATTAAAGCATATAACATCATACATGCATGCCAATTTTTCTTCCGTATTCAAGTGCACTGCTTAATGAGGTATAAGCCTTGTGTATGTAATGCTTAAATATATACATTTAAATAAATCTTATCAGTTCATGTAGCTGAATAAAATCCGATAGGTATATATGCGCATGAAGCTGTATTGCTGACAGTGCTCTACTGTAGAAGCTAGTGTACATATTTGTAGATTTCATGGAGTAGTTTATTCTTGAATGCTCATTAGGAAGTGCACCAAACTTTAGAAAAGCATTGTTGACACGATGGCAGTTATGTTCCGCGTAAAGGTCGGCTTATGCCTCAGTCACACCTTTTTTGATATTTGGCAAGAAGTCAATTCTTAATATCAAGAAATACCATTGGATTACAACAGAAAATCATTTCTTCATATCAAGAATTCATTTCTTGATATCTAGAAATAGGAACAAATGGTAAAACTGCTTGCCAATAATACGCAGCAATACGCAAGTCGAATACGCAAAGGTGTGACTGAGGCATTAGCTACGCCAATTGATTTACTCCTGGATTCTTCCAGGAGTAACGCGCTACCCTAGAAGGTAGTGTAAGTTGACCGTGTGGATGCTCTCACTTGGCACTCGGAGTATATGTGACCTTTCACAAGGGTTGTGTGACCTAACATTATAAACTTCCGGGGTCAAACCTACAGTGTTCACCACATTATGCAAGCTTTTTTTAATGCCTTTAGAGGAATTTTCATGGTTTAGGAATATGTTTGTTTACAATCAAAAATGAAATTTAGATTTTGCGCTGTTCAGAGTGCGAGCGCCAGCACTTCTGGAATTTACGCTGCGCTGAGTAAGACTGGGTCGATGGAAGGTTTCGTTGACTTAATCGTGGCAAGTTGGTCCAAGTAAGAGTATATTGACAACTAATGGTGTAAGTCAAATATTTATGGAATATTTATTGTTGCACGGACAAACTTGCGCCGACTAGAAAGCTACGTCTTAACATGGTTATATGATGCAAATGTTTTTGTTACTCATGCTCTAAAATGTCTGGATTAAGATGCCAGAAGAAAGGATAAAAGTGTGCCTTGTGCCTTGTGTAGTGGCACGGGGCAGATGGACTAGGGATAGGGACTATAGAGATGTGATGTATCTGTAGGGAGTTGACAAGACTGCCAATAGATAGTAGTCTACTTGACCGCCTGTTCTATCATATGTCATATATTCATTGCCTGGATTTAAATAGCTCAGAATGACTTTGAACTGAATATACTTGAGCCTGCGTCCTTATTTTCTGGATTAAGTAAATTACAGTAGGGGTTACAACACAATAAGAGATACTAAAGACATACTTCAGGAAACATCACCCCAAATAATAAGTGTAGTTATTCATAAAAATGAGATGTATTTTTGCCCTTTGATGTAAAATATTCCTTACGAAAGAGTACAGGAAATATATAAATAAAGATATTCTTGGCATGATGTAATGCCTTTAGCATGACATGGGCGCAGCCATTTTCTTGAAAATGTGAGGTAACAGGTGAAGTTGTACATGTATCATGTACCAAGCTTGAGTTGCGAAGAGTTTTTAATTCAATAACAAAAGCTTTACCTGTCAATGAGGGAAATCAAAGCTGGGAAGGTAAACATTAAATTTGGTGAAAAGTACATAACAGGCTGGGGGAACAATTGTAACAATTGTTTTTAAAAACACATGTACTAAAGTATAGTAGTTGACAAATCTATTTCATTTATGCGAAACCTTCACCCCAGAAGAGCAAAACTTATTTATGCGATTTGCGTTCTGGCAAGTGTAGTACAAAGGATAATAGCAAGTAAATGAAATACTTCATCACCACACATACCTGGGAAGGAAGCATCCATAAATTTGAATACATTTTCTTGATAAACGACTTTGCATAGTATGTCACTTTATCAAGAAAATGGCGCTGCCCATGTCGTGCTGAGAAACTGTTCATTATCTAGGTATATGTCTCTATTATACAAATTGGTTGAGAATTTTGTAGATTAATGTGCAAGAATACAATAAATCTCTCAGAATGACTTAAGTTATTTCTTAATTGGGTGCGATGCTTGATTAATTTGTTTATTTTATTACAGGATTGTCAGTGAGGAGGAATTTATAAAGCTGTCCAAGCTTATTGAACCTAGCTACTACAAAGAGGTGGGAATTAACCTGAACATCCCCAATGCAGAGCTTGGGCAAATCACTGTGCAACATATGCTAAATACCAGTGATGCATTGATGACAGTGTTCACGAGATGGAGAGACAAACAGCCTCCAGGCACAGACATCAGGGCTCTTCTTGCAGAGGGATTACAAAAAAGTGACTTAGGATCCCTCTCTGGCGAACTTCTCACTGGCAGTCTAGTCCCGAATAGGACAGGTGAGAATGAAAAGGAAATCATATCGGCTGCTCGCAAGAGGGCCCTTACTGCCATTGATATTAAATGTATTGCTCTTGCAGGCAACCAACACACACTGTTTTGCCATTTTCTCATTTGTTACAAATAGGGTTACTTAGCAGGACATCCCAGTATTAAAACAGACAGCCCACAAGGCCGACAATATCAGCCAAACAAACTTTCTGAATAGTTCTCAGAACACCCACAAGACTGACATGTCGGTCTTGTGGGCTGTCAGTCCATGAGTCATTGGTCTGGTGGGTCTGCTGACAACTTTTCAGAAGTTTGTCTGATATTGTCGGCCTTGTGGTCTGTGTAAGGGAAATAATGAAATTAGTTTTATATGAAGCTGTACAAGGATTTTCATTCACATTTCATGTTGGGAACCACCGCATTTCAAGCCCAGCCACTTTCTGACTTTTTTCCTCTTCAAGTCTAGCTCATCTTGTGACACCAAGCTTATGAAAATTATTCGTACCATTACAGAGTCTTTATTGTGACCCTATGTCAGCCCCAGCCTGGAGAAACTTTCCTTTTGTTGTACATAAAAAAAGGAAAACTACATTTTTCTCAGTTCTCTCTATATCAAGTGGAATCGTTCTTTGAGCTGTAATTCATAAGGTTCAGCGTTATTGTCCATACTGTCAGCAAAATCTGTGATATTTACGTTTATAATTATGTATGTACATTCTTACTGAAAGTCAAACTCTATTGAGTTATTTTTTAGTTGGAAAAGAAAAGAAACATAGACATGTCATGCATCAACAATAGTATGCATGTATGATGTTTAGAAATTAAACTGCAAAGAAGAAAAAATGAAAGTGTAAATTTGAAAAATAATAAATACATCAGAAATTGTTCATATGATCATGTGTGGGTGTGGAATGAATATCCTCAAATGAAACATGTTGATGTTTAGAAAAAAATTCTGTTGATCTAAATCATTAATTGTCACACTTATGCTATTTGATTTAAAGGTGCTCCTGTTCCAATGCTAGGATCACAGACTCCACCACTTTCTCCTGACCAGATCAAGAGATGTGCAGATGAATTCAAATTCAAGTACCGGACAAGTCTCTGTAAGATCAGATCTGATGCCCTCAACCCCGATTCCATTGTGCCATTCAAGGACATGTACACAAACCTTCTCCTAAAAGAGGAATATAGAGAACGCAAGCGACCTCTTGAGTACAGGGATCTCTTTGATCTCAAAGTCAATGGAGAGTTCCCCAAGCGGATCATGATTCAGGGAGAGGCTGGGGCTGGAAAGACAACATTCTGTTCTAAGATTGCCTGGGACTGGATAAATGACAGTCCTGTTCTTCCAAAGTTTGTGTGGGTACTTGTTGTCCCTCTTTGTGAAGCCAAGCAATACACGATTGGTGAGATTGCCAAGTCATATCTCTCCAAGGACAACCCAGCAACAGCCAGCCAGATCACTGAGTACATCCGGTCAAATCCAACTCATGTTTTCATTGCGTTTGATGGATTAGATGAGTTTGATGGAAAGGTTGTACAGGAAGGGGAAGCTCGTTCAAAGTCAGAATGTCACCAGCCAAAGTCTGCTGATCAAACCAAGGCAAGATCAGAGAGAGGTGACATTGCACTTATAGACATTCTTCGTTCAGATGAACTTGGCACTTGCCCGGTATTGGTGACAAGTCGCCCAAGGAAGGTCACAGAGTTTAGATGGGATTATAGTCTAAGGAAACTCTACACTTTCATGTATGTGGAAGGTTTTAGCAAGGAGAATGTGGAGGTTTACATTCACAAGTACTTTGAAGACAATGTGGCCACAGCAGATCAGCTTATCCAATTAACCAAAGAAAGTGACATCATATCTGAGTATATGGCCCCACATCCTATCTACATAGCTATGCTCTGTCTTATGTGGAGAGAACTTGGTGACGAAAAACAAGAAAAGTTAAAGTCATTTCGAACTTTTTCTCAAATATTTGATGAAAGATTTAAATTCCTGAGGGTGCATTATGCTCAGAAAAAAATCAAAGATTTAGGCAGCCCATCATTCAAAGAATATCTCGCTCAAATTGAGAAGCTGTTGAAACCAGTTGCAAACGTTGCTTTCATTGGGCTACAAGAAAACACTGATGTTTTTAAAGAAGATGATTTTGAACAGTGTTCAGAATCCATGGAAACAGCTTGCAGAGTAGGGGTGTTAGAGAAAAGAAAGTCATTTATAAATGATAAGAGCAGTATTGATCTGCAGTCTCAAATCTTCTTTCCTCACAAACTCTTTCAGGAGTACATGGCTGGAGTCCATCTTGCTTCCTTGTATGAATCAGATCACAATGAATTCAACAGGCTAATTGAGCAAGTAGTGCTACCTAGGAAGGAAGAGTTTAGATATCTCCTGTACTTCATTGTATCATGGGACAAAACCATTGCAAACCATGTCATGAAATGCATGGTACAGGGTAACACCACAACCCAAGAGGAGATGGATTTTTTGGTTGATGTATCCTTCGAGAGTCAGGACCTAGATACCGTAGCATTATTGAGGGGTCGAGTGTCATCTCTGAAAATAAACTTCAGGACAGCACATACCATAGCAGCTTATGTATTCACCGGACTATATGTAGATGTGGTAAGTTTGATATCTTACAACATATATATACGTGTTATAACTTAAAGGGGAAGGTGGGAAATAGAAGCAGAGAAATGAGAGAAACAGAACAGTGAAAGTGTGAGCAAAAACAGATTAGCAATAAGAAAGTTATCAATTTTGGAAGGCGCAATTAATCAAACACAAATTGGTAATTCTGTGACATATATTAAGAGCTCCCCTCCTTTTTGCCCTGTACTAAAAAACTTTTAGAATCTATATTTTCCCTTTACAAAATATTTAATCATGCATTTACCCTAAATGTAATTATTGCAAATATGTTTTTATACAACACCTATATGAAACAAATCTGTTTCGTTAATAAATTGAAAGTTCATGAAATTTTCTGTATATAGCAAATATGAGAGGAGCTCGCATGGTACGTCACAGTGTTGCCAATTTGTGTTTCACCGATTACAACTTTTTAAATCCATAACTTTCCTATATTAAATTGGATGTTGCTCAAATTATCCTCTAATATTTTTCTCATTTTTCTGCTTTTATTGAAACCAACTTAAAGATACTATGTCCCTTGTGCAGCCAACACCAAATTTTGTAGAACTTTCCAGGAATTATGAATATGTCATGTATGTCTTATTTGTGAAATTTAAACGTTAGCAGTGTCCTAATATTCAAATTATGCAAGGAAATCTGTTTACTTGCTAGACTTCACTGTCATACGCTAATGACTGACTGGCTTTTCTTCTTCCTTGGTAATAACATACATAAAAAAATGAGCTGTAAAGGGTACATGAGCATTTGTCTCCATCATTAACCCACTTCTTGAAATGGCCAAAATTAAACTGATTGAATCTTTGCGCAGCATGAAACGTACAACTATTCGGTACAATGGTCTGAAAAATCAGACTAGTACTTACTGGCTCTATACCTCTTAGTCGATTCGACAACTAATATTCGTTATTTTCCCACTTAAAGACATTTTCAAGCCCCCCCCCCCCCTCCTTTTTTAGGGAAATTCTAAATTAGTTTTATCTTTCAAATGGTGTTGGAATTTAACCTTTAACCCCTCCAATTGCCAATCCACAGGCGTCTATAGACTTGCATATTTTAAGAATGGGTCTATAATATTTTTTGTTGTTTAACTCTCTCTTTTACATCCATGACCTTATACCTGATAACCTGTGATAAATTCATGTCCACTTTTAAAAAACATGTATAAAATCAATGACAAATCATTTCTGTAAATAAAAGTGGCAGGGATATAAAGACCACTACCCGTTTACAAAATCAAATGAAAATACTGGTAGTATTTAGGAGACAAAAGAGAGAGAGGAGAGAAGGAAACACGAACAACACATTTGTACATTATATATGGTTACTCATTGTAATATGTGACCTTATACATTGAGTCTATGCCAAATGCGATACACACATACACACAGTTAATGTACACTGTGGTGTGTTCCTCTGATATACCCAATATAACCAGGCTGGCTGGATTGAAACCTAACTCTGATCTATCTCTATGTGTCATCATTTCAGTACTAATCATACAGCTTAAACAAGCTCACATTTTACTCTTGTCTTCAAGGGGATGTCTTTTGTCCAATAGGTGACCATGATGACATTTTGAAGTGGATAAATAGTAAATATGATCATTGACTGCCTGTTTGTTTGTTTGTTTTTTTTTTTTTTTGGGGGGGAGGAAGGGGGCGGTCATACAAAACATATTGCCCTCATCTCCAGTCCAGACATTGTTATATTACTTTGGCAAAATCATTTCATATACCCATCACTGTTATAGGCATACTGTTATATAAATATAAACAGTACTATTTGACTTGTACTAATAAGTTTTATTGGTCAGAAAATAAGCCATCTTCATGAAATGGCATAATGAACAGCAGTTTTGCTGCAGCCAGTCTTCTGGTTAATTTTATGCTCAGACAGAGTAAGCTTTGATGGAGGGTCAATTTGGGGGCCCTATGGAAATGGCAATCTTTTACCATGCTGCATTACTGACTTATTGTTATACAAGACCTTTGCAAGAAAAAATCGCAGCACTATGTTAGTCTGTTCATATGGACCACTGTAAAATACACATTCTGTACTCATTCAATGAGACAACCTTCATGCAGGCCCATTGACAGCAGCATAACATTCCAGGTGGTCTTAAACTTTAGCAATGGACTCTGTCTGATTTCCTCATATTATCATTTTTTGTTTGTTTATTTTGTTTTTGTTTTAAGATCGATCTTCAAGTGCATGATTACATGCTTGGACCAACTATATCACATGATCTAGCGAAGATCATATGCTCTGCTCCCTCTCTAGAGAAAGTTTCACTCTCCAGAACAGACTTGGACAGTGACTTCTATGTAGTTCTTGCTAAAGAAGGAAACACATCCAAGGTGAGTGATAATACATATTGTAATAATGATAATAGTATTAATAATACTAATATTAATACTTATATTGATACTAATACTAATACTAATTATAATACTACTACTACTACTACTTCTACTACTACTACTACTACTTCTACTACACCACCACCAATACTACTACTACTACTACTACTACTACTAATAATAATAATGATAACAATAGTGATTGTGGGTTCTTATATAGCGCACATATTCATCATGCCGTGACGTTCTCGATGCTTCAACATTCAAGTGTACCGATCGCCTAAAAAAATGATGTGTACAGCTAGAATGTATAAAATCAACATCAAAAACCTTTTTGAGTAAATAAAGTGACAAGGAACTCCTAACATACAGATTATTTGTTGATGATTGGTAATTTATGTCAAAGGCCTACTCTACAGTGTACACGTTTTACATTGTAACCTCCGTGTTATGATTCATGTGCCCCCCTAATAATCTGCCAGTGTTTTAGTGATTCACTGTTTGCACAGATCGAGACTCTGCCTTCATGGTGGTGATCGAGTGTCCCTTACCAGCCTCATCACATGATGAGAGTAAACAAAAGTTGTGTAAAGATGACCATGCATGTAGATCTATAAGCAGTGGTAAATTAATGGAGTTGAAAATCCATTTGACAAATGAACTTATATCCTTTGTTGTTGTTGTTGTTTTTATTTTCGTATAATAAAATCAGATACAAATACATAAAAAATAATTATACGGCTGGTAGCCCATATTCAGCTGCAACTATAATTGTTGCTGCTGGTCTTCCATGGGGCCAGTTTACAATATGCAAAATATACATTATATTAAAAATTAACAAAATAAATAATTACGAAGTATCAGTCGAAAACATAATTACTTAAAGGAAAAAACAACAACAAACAAACAAAAAAATCAAACATCATATAAACATACATAAAGAGGTAAAACAACAAGGTGATTATAGTCTGTTTAAGTAGTCTTAAAGGTGGCAAAAGTGGGTAGTTGACGCAAATCAGGGGATAATTTATTATATTGAAAAGAAGCTCTGTACACAAAAGTTCTTTTACAATAATTTGTTCTTGGCTTAGGTAAAGAGAGGTAATGTGCATTACGGAGGGAGTATGGAGAGGGTTTAAACTCAAACATGTCTTTCAAATATTCAGGGGTCATGTTATGTAATGTTTTGTAAGTTAGGAGTAATAAATGGATTTGTTGCCTTTCACGTATCATTTGCCAACCAAGACAGCTATGAATTTGACTGGTAGAAGTATGCGAATAAGGGTTAACTTTTAGTATGATTCTACCGGCCCTATTTTGAATTTTTTGAAGTTGTATTAAACTGCTACTGCAGGCAGATTTCCATACTACATCCCCGTAATCAAAGCGAGGTAATATGATGGAATTATAGATTAATTTCAATTCAGACATATTCACAAATTGTCTTAGTCTACATAAATAACTAACCATTTTACTTAGTTTGTTACACGTCTGTTTAATGTGAACATCCCATTTTAATTTTTCATCCACATGTACACCGAGATATTTAAAGCTCCTTACTTGGGACAACTGTTGTTCTTTGATTTCGATATTCAAAAGCGGTTGTTTTTTTAAGCATGTTATGTGTTCATAGTAACATGCATACAGTTTTGTCGTAATTGATCTTTAAGTTGTTTTTATTCATCCACGCATCAAGGCTATTAATTTCTTTATTTAAAACATTTTCCACCACTTTGATTTTTATGTGAATAATAAATGACCGTATCATCTGCATAAAGATGGACCTTGCAGGTGTTGAAATCAGAATTGATGTCATTTATAAAAATAATGAACAACAGGGGCCCCAGTAAAGAACCTTGCGGCACACCTTTCGTAGTTAATCTTTCATCAGAAAGGACATTATTTACCGACGTTCTTATTCTTCTGTTTGATAAATAGTGTTTGAACCACTGTAATTCTACACCAATTACACCCATAGATGCAAGTTTAGATACAAGGATTAGGTGACCAACCATATCAAATGCATTTTGCAAGTCTACAAAAATTGTTCCAATGTAATTACCTTTATCGATAGAGTAAAACCAATCATCTGTGACTGCGGCTAGTGCTGTCACGGTGGAGTGTTTTGGACGAAAACCTGACTGATTTTGGGACAGCAAGGAATGACACTTTAAATAATCAAGCAATTGTCGCTGAACGACTCTTTCCATAACTTTAGAGGCGCAAGGCAACAGTGAGATCGGCCTATAATTATTGAAATCAAGTTTATCTCCTTTTTTGTGTATCGGTATTACTTTTGCGACTTTCCATTTGTCAGGCACAAGCCCTTCCGATAAAGATTTGTTGATTAAAAAGGTAAAAGTTTCAATCATTTCAGATATTGACTCTTTAAGAATATACATAGAAATTTCGTCTAACCCGACCGACTTCTTTGTTTTCATTGACATTACTTATTTCAAGACATAAGATTGACATACATTAACAAATTTAAATTTTCTGTCAGAAACCTTTTCACCATGGGAATAAAGCCGGTTATTAGCCCTTGTGTTATTTGTGCATACATTTGTCGCTATATCTGCAAAGTAGTTATTAAACTCATTCGCTATTACACTTGAATTTTCTTTCGGAAAAGTGCTGTTAGAAGAATTACAATTTCCTATTAAACTTTTGAGTGTTGTCCGAGATTCATTTCTATTGGTGACTTCAGATAGTTTATCACATATGTATTTACGTTTGGATTTTCTTATCTCAGTGGTAACTTTATTTTTCATGCGTTTATAGAGTTTCCATAAGTTTCCATAATATCCTTCATGTTAGATGTGTTTAAGACTTTCTTCATAAATGTTTTGGATGGATGCAATTACTCTGATGAATTTGCAGTGAAGAACTGCATGAGGGCTGTAATGGTAAAAGTCTTTTATTTTTCGACGAGCTTTAATAATAATTTGTCTGTCTTTACTATCTTGCATTAAAGGGATCCGGTAACTTTGTCTCAGATTCTGAAACGAAATTATAGATTTAGCTCATGATGCAATGATAATTATAAACCTTTAGGTCAGTCAGGAACCCCATGACTTTTACAAGCCGATCGCCTGTCTGATTATCAAGATATTTATGACTGGAATTACCAATTTTGAAAACCGTTCGCCTGACGGTTTTCATAACACTACAGTCTATTGAGGAGTATGGTAAAACCGGTCACTCAAAGATTTTTACTTTTTTGAGGCACTTCAATATTACACCATATCACAGACACTGATAAACGTAGGGCTGTGTATCTCAGATTTAATATTGTTAAACGTTCCCTTTAACTGAATTCTTAGTTTAACCATACACTAAAAAATATACCTAACACAAAATCTAAGCTGTAGCCTCATCATGACAAATCCTATACAACGACTTTATTTTCATACATGACTATAAATAAAGCCCAAAGCAATTGTCAACAAGACCATAGATATACACATACATGCATATCAGAGTACCCGGTTTTATTTGCAGTCATTCAATTAGAACATGCAGTCTGGTAATTAATATACTTGTTTGAATCACTGTTTGTTTACATGTAGGTCAAAACTCTCGAGCTTGCACCAGCTAAGTGTCTAACATCGGCGTCCTCACATCACCTAGTAAATGCTCTGTGTTCCATGCCAGACCTGACTGAACTGACATTATATGGAAAAGCTTTCCAGGAGGAGTTCTATTCTACACTGAATGCAAAGGCGTCAAGCTTAAAGGTATGTGTGTTTGTACTCTACATCCATGCCATGATGAATATATGGACACATGTTTTGGAGATGAGTTAAATTATGAGTTAGGATATTTCAGCAACAGTCAATATTTTTTCAAAATGTGTAATGTTTCATATGAAAATACAAAATAGTTTTAACAGACAAGGGAAACTATTATAAAAAGGGACTATCATGTGCAGTGTATGAAACAAAATAAAAATAGCTTGAATTGAGAATATGATGTTCTGCAAAAAGACTTTACTTTTATTTAAAGGTATATTTGAGAAAAGGTATTTTAGTTTTTGATGGATATTAACTGGATGTGTTTTAGTAAGAATTTTTAGGGAAGGGGAGTGTTTTGTCGCTACTCATGCGTTGATAAAATTCACTATAAACAGTTAAATGAAGTGCTCTATTAAATGTCTAGTAGCTACAAACATTTCGTCCCTAATGGATATATTTTTCAGTTCAGAATTCATAATGTTGGAATTGTGTCATCATGGGTGTGAAAGCAGTATCAAAGTATACTTAAGAGTCAATACTCACTAAACATAGATGGAGATCTTGATCACAGTGTACTTCATTTACGCACAGCTACATGTGCACACTGTACATATTCATGTCTAATGCATACTTTTAGTCTTGAATGTAAGCATTTATAGTCCAGGCATAATTTGATATGACCTCCAACTAATTGCAACAGAAAATGTCTCCACTGTTTTGTCCTCTTGGAGGTGTCCTCTATAACATATCAAAACTCTTAAGGAATCCTGGTGGGGGAAAGTGACATCGCGGCCATTTTTGGGTATGAATTACTGTTTGTATACATGTAGGTCCAAACTGTCACGCTTATGGACATTAGGTGTCCAACATCAGCCTCTTCACATCACCTAGAAGATGCTTTGTGTTCCATGCCAAACCTGACTAAACTGGTACTACATGGAAAGGATTTCCAGGAGGAGTTCTATTCTTCACTGAATGCAAAGGCGTCAACCTTACAGGTATGTTTGTGTGTTTGTTCCCTATAGCCATGCCATGATGGACTCATGTACACATGTAGCAGTTAAAATGAGTTTAAGCAATTTCAATATTTTAGCAATGGTCAATATCTTTTAATGTGGGTAATGATTTATACTTTTAGTTCTGAATGTATTATATATCATTAATAGGCAATGTCAACAATCATGTGTTTAAATATTCAACAGTGCAATAGTTATTAATTCTCCAAATACAAATACAGCTTTATTTATTAAATTCAATCATATGAATAATATGCATCCTAAAATGATGGGCATCAACCATGGTTCATGTATAGGTGTTTGATGTCCAGTGGATAAGTCTTTGGACAATGAACCATGAAGTATGGGGTTCAAATCCCTGTCGTACGTAGCACCAATGTTGTTTGGCTAAACATCAATCTATATTTGCCACACTCAACTTAGTTGTAGTATAAAGTGGGTACCTGGTAGGATATTTTCCTGAATACAACATTATATAGTATGTAGTAAGTAAATGTCCTACGTCTGTAATTGTCAGTCCTTGTGTTGGTGGACACATGCTCCATCAACATTTGTTCTGTGCTAACAAGCCTGCACTCACCGAATTCATGATTTTTATCCTGCACCAAAAAGTATACCTCTCACTAAACCTATGGTCAAACCTATTTGCAGCACTTATCCAAATCCTATATATTTGACTAAATAAAGCCAAGATCATTTGTCATCGGAGCACCTAGTTATATTTGAAGTCATTCAATTGAAACATGTTCTTTGGTAATGTACTTGTATGAATCACTGCTTGTATACATGTAGGTCCAAACTGTCACGCTTATGGACATTAGGTGTCCAACATCAGCCTCTTTACATCACCTCTTAGATGCTTTGTGTGCCATGCCAAACCTTACTAAACTGGTACTAAGTGGAAAGGATTTCCAGGAGGAGTTCTATTCTACACTGAATGCAAAGGCATCAGCCTTACAGGTATGTATGTGTGTTTGTTCCCTATAGCCATGCCATGAAGAACTCATGTACACATGTAGCAGTCGAGATAAGTTTAAGCAGTTTCAATATTTTAACAATGGTCAATATCTTTCAATGTGGTTAATGTTTTATATGAAAATATATAATAGTCTTCGCAAACAAAAGAAATTTGTATACATTTAGGCGAGGCGTCAAAAATATCGATACCAGCAGGCTGCCGCCTCACGTATTGGCGCATCGAGGCTGCAATTACGGCCGAAGCCTGGCTGGGGCAATTATTTTTCACTTATTAGCCCAGCCGGCTTGCGCCAGGCTGGGATCTGAGGCTCGGTTTCCATTCGAAAGGCGGCAGCCGGCGCATGCTTTTGTTCGGAAACCATTATGATGACATCATGAGTTAATTGAGGGTCCTACCGCCAGCGGTAGCCGGCTGAGCTAATTTAAAAAATGCAGCCAGGACGCACAAGTGCAGTTAGCTGCCGCTGGCTGGTATATTTATTTTTGACGCCTCGCCTTATGTGTACTGCATACTTTTAGTTCTGAATGTATTATATATCATGTCAACAATCATGTGTCTAAATATTCAACAGTGCAATAGTTATTAATTCTCCAAATACAAATACAGCTTTATTTATTAAAATCAATCATATGAATAATATGCATCCTAAAATGATGGGCGTCCAGTGGATGAGTCTCTGGACAATGAACCACGAAGTATAGGGTTCAAATCCCTGCCGTACGTAGCACCAACGTTGTTTGGCTAGACATCAATCTATATTTGCCACACTCAACTCAGTTGTAGTACAAAGTGGGTACCTGTTAGGATATTTTCCTGAATACAACATATAGTATGTAGTAAGTAAATGTCCTACGTCTGTAATTGTCAGTCCTTGTGTTGGTGGACACATACTCCATCAACGTCCTCTCTGTGCTAACAAGCCTGCACTCACCGAATTCATAACTTTTATCTTGCACCAAAAGGTAGACCTATCACTAAACCTATGGTCAAACCTATTTGCAGCCCTTATCCAAATCCTATATATTTGACTAAATAAAGCCCAGATCATTTGTCATCGGAGCACCTAGTTATATTTGAAGTCATTCAATTGAAACATGTTCTTTGGTAATGTTCTTGTATGAATCACTGTTTGTATACATATAGGTCCGAACTGTCACGCTTATGGACATTAGGTGTCCAACATCAGCCTCTTTACAATACCTAGTAAATGCTTTGTGTTCCATGCCAAACCTGACTGACCTGCAACTACATGGAAAGGATTTCCAGGAGGAGTTCTATTCTTCATTGAATGCAAAGGCGTCAACCTTACAGGTATGTAGGTGTGTTTGGACTCAGTATCCATGCTATGATGCATTCATGTAGCAGTGGAGATGAGTTTAAGGAGTTAAGATATTTTAGCAACAGCCAATATTTATTCAATGTGTGTAAGGATTTATATGAAAATCCATGATAGTCTAATTATTAGCCACAAGAAATTATTATAAAAATGGTCTTTCATATGCAGTTTATGATACAGAATTCATATAGGTTAAATTGGAATATGTTCTGCACACAATTTGTTGAGATGTTTGCTTCAGAAATGGGATTATGGTCTTTGATGGAGACTAACAGGATGTGTTAAAGTAAGAATGTTTGGGGGAAGCAGAGTATTGTGTTGCCACTCATGCAGTATAGCATTCAGTAATAACAGATAACTGATGTGCTCTAAAGACTAGTGTCTACAAATAATATGCTTGTAATTTTGTATATTTTTAAGTTCGAAGCAATTTATAAGGTTGGAATTGGGTCATCACGGGTCTGAAAGCAGTATCAAAGTTTACTTCAGAGTTAATACTTACTTAAGGATGGAGATCTTGATTACAGTGTACTTATGTTAAGCACAGCTATTGGCACACAATCTATGTATACATTCATGTATAATGCATACCTTTAATCATGGATGTGTTATATAGCATTTAGGTAATGTCAACAATGTGTCCAAATATTTGACAAAGTGATAGATCTTCTTTCTGTTTTTAATTCTCCAAACACAAATACACTTCTATTTATTGAAATCAATCATATCAATAATATACATCCTAAAATGATGGGCATCAACCATGGCTCATATAAAGGTGTTTGTGGTTCAGGGGATAAGTCTCTGGACAGTGAACCATGAGGTATGGGGTTCAAATACCTGCCGTACGTAGCACCAGGCGCGGATCCAGGGGGGAGCCGAGCGTGCCTTGCCCCCCCCCCCCCCCCCGCAAAAAAAAAAAAAAAAAAAGGAGAGAGAGAGAAGGAAAAGAAGGGAAAGAGGAGAGAAAGGGAAAAAAGAAGAGGAAGAAGAAAAGAAAAGAGGGAAGTAGGAGATCGGGGGGGGGGGGAGGACTTGCCTCCCCCTTCCCCCCCCCCCCCCAATAAAAAAATAAAAGAGAAGGAAGGAAAGGGAAAGAAAAAAAATAAAGAGGAGATAAAGGGAAGGACAAAATAGGAAGAAGAAAAGAAAAGAAGGGGGATATCAGTTGCAATTTTCCCGCCAACAAGTTGTGGATCGAGGGGGGGGGAAAGACCGTAGCCTCCCCCCTCCCGTCCCCGCTAAAAAGAGAGAAGGAAGGAAAAGGAAAAGAGGAGAGCTAAAAGGGAACAAAAAGAGGAAGAAAAAAAGAAAAGGGAGAAAAGAAGCGGAGATCAGTTGCGGTTAATCCCGCCAACAATGTGTGGAGCGGGTTGGGGACCAAAATGACCGTGCCCCTCCCCCCAGCAAACCTAAAAGAGAGATAAGGAAGGGAAGGGAAAGTGAAAGAGGAGAGAAAGGGAAAGGGGAAAAAAAGAGAATGAAGAAAGGTAAGGGATATCAGTTGCAATTTTCCCGCCAACAAGGTGTAGATCGGAGGGGGGGGGGGGGCACTGGCATACTGATAGGGGAGGGGGGGTTGGAGAAATAGAATTTAAACGTGGTTTATTTATAATTCCATAACGGTGGTTAACAGATAATGCTGAAATGAGATAATTTTCCTCACTTCATGGGTTTGTTGGAAAATGACAAATTCCTAAATTTACAGCCAGGCAAGAAAATGCTTCTTGAGATGCCTACA